GATTTGACATCAAATAACATTCGAAATGGGATAGTGTATCAGGAAGCACACTCTGAACAAACTGTAGTGCTATATTACTGTCCTGCCCTGGAAAGTGCTGTGCTTTAGGTGAAAAGCTATTGAAAAGCAGTTCCCATTTATTTTTGTAAGTACCTGTTGGTGTTTGAAGAGTGCAGCACTCCTGTACACAGCCAGAACAGCTTGTGCTACACCTGCCTTTTCACCAAGAAAGAATCTGGTTCCTGGAAAGGAAGGAGCCACCTCTTTTCTGTCGGAGGACACATCTCTGGTATGATCTCCACATTTCTGGAGACCGGGTCTCCTGAAACGGTCCATCACATCTTTCCCCGTCGAACCTTGCAGACCTTTCAGAGGTCAGGGATGGCCAGTGTCACTTCACACAGATGTGTATCAGGAGGCTGTGCTGGGGAAAAGGCGTTCCCCTCAGCTTTTGTTTTTTCTCCAAGTAGTTCTGCTCCCTCCCTTTGTCTTTCTATTTATTAGAAAGGGCTGTTCCAGCCTCTTAGAAGGACAGGTAATTGGCTGTTGAATATGGTACTTTGGGTGTAACTCTGAGAAGAGAAAGATATGCAGTTATTTACCTCTGTTTTCAAAGAGCTGATCCGTTCTTCTAGCTGTTGCATTTTCACTAAACACACACTCTCTTTCCGGGTTATGGAAAGGTTCTGTTCCACAAGTCTTTACGCAACCCGGATTTTACTGAAGTCTGAAGCTACCCTTTCTTAGCCACTGGGTGAACATAACTGTATGCCTTATAGAGAATTACTGCTCTTTGTATTTATAAAAACACTTCATGAAAAAATTATTTAAAGCTTTAGATTTATAATAATGAAGTACCTAATCTAGTATGAACTTAAAAATATATAGTAAAGTAAGGTGTTTGTATTCTCATTCAACTTAAAAGTTTAACACATAGGTTTGTTTAAAATGTTGTACTCCTGTGTGGCTGCTGTCTAAACAGGTCTGTAACGTGTTTCTACCAGAAACATGTCTTCTGGTAGTGGGAACTAGCAGTGGGTTACCTTCAGTTTCTTTACCAGACTTCTCTCCAGCTGAGTCACCACACTATCATGAACTAGTGATTCATAATTGCTTCTGGTTGGCATTAGTGCCAGTGGGTTCTCCTCTTATGAACTGTTCAGAGCCTTATCTGTTTCCTGTTTTACTGGAGTGCTGTCTTGCTTTGATTATCTTTCAGCTCAGTTTGTCAGCAGAGGTATTAGATGCAAATACTTAAATGTTACATCTGTGGATTTCCCCAGTAATAAAGTTGGTAAAATATAAAAATTGTGGCCCACATTACTTCTCCCTGTTTCTCTCTCACAGAGAAACACAGCTTAACATTTTTAAAGTGTGGGGAATTTAACATTGATCAGCATTCTGTAACATCACAGCACCATGGCATTTTATAGTCGGCAAAACTCCTTGAAATTGTGGTTTAAAAAGGGTCGAACAGTTCATTTTAAACCCTCAGAGTATACTGGAATATGTTTTTATTAGTGACTAAAAGCCATCCTTGTTCTCCAGTTTTTAGAGTTGTAATTACCGGAATCTCCCAGAAACAAAGCCGGACAAAAAGCAAATATTTCCTTGATGGCAAAGTAAAATTAAACGTGCTTACCTTTGCACTAAGACCCTCAGCCCCACCTTTCCAATGTACTTGCATAAAAATCACAGAGCAAACAGTAGCCCGATGGCTTAGAGCAATTCATTCACAGCCAGTGACGGCAGCGGATTGCCCACAGTCCTTAAAAAAAAACGCTTGTATCTGCACAGGGCACATGAGCTTTGATCAGTCTGGTGCTTCAACCAGTCAGGAATTATCCTGACAGCTATATCTGCATGGCGGGGTATAGGGATTTACATTTGGAGTCTCTAATAGGTAAATCCCCTGCTCGGGTGGTCAACACGATCCCGTACCCGTAAGTGTTGAGAAAGTGATGATTTGCAGGTACAAAGCCTATAAACCCGCTGGGCTTTGTCACTTTTCCACGGTGCTGATTAAAGGTCAAGGGGAGTGCTCATCTAGTGTTTTTTTAATTTACAGAACAGAATGCAGTTCTCAGGGAAAACAAGGAACTTTTTTATTCCAGAAGATGAAGGTTAGCGTTTAATATATATTAAAAAAAGAATCTGCAAGGAACAAAAGGACAAGATGTCACTGAAAAATGCAATCTCATGAACAAGTATGAGAGTCTGTTAGGAGCCAACAGACACACAAGTGGGCCTGTCCTTCGTGGCTGTTGTGTAATTTTAAATAAAGCCAACAGCTCCTTTTCAGAGCTTCAACATGCAAGAAAGTGTTTGTGAAGATTGTCTCCAAATTGTTTAAGGGACTGGGTTCCCGGTAAAGCCTTAAATTTCTAAAACGTCTGGTGTTATAATCCAGCCATACATCCCTAACACCTAAGAAGTGTCTGTCTGGTGAAAGGACAGTGTTTCTGTCACAACTGCATCTCGGCGACTCCTGGTCAGATGTTTCTTCTTTTGGCCAGTTCTCGTAGTTCTAATAACATTCCGGACCGCAGGTACAAGGCAGGTGTCACTCGTCCACACTCAGCAGAGGAGAGACGGGGAATTCGTGGTACCGCATGTCCAGTGCGATAGATGTATCTCTAGATTTGAAAAAGAAGTGTAGGAAATCGATTTGGTTATTTTTTAAATTGTGGTAAACGATTTTAATAAAATATTATAAAGCAGTATTAAATCAGAAAAAAAACAAATTGATTGTTGTTACTGGCTAAAAGCGGTAATATAATTCCTGTCAGTATTCATAGTTGTGTATTAGTAGACCTTGGAAGGTAAGAATGTAGAGCTATGATGTTGCACGTTTAGTCTCTCCTACAGTGCTTGAAGGTTTTTTTGGTAGTATTAGAATTTTGTGTAACCTGTATAATTGGTTTTATATTGTATTTAACATTTCAGTTATTGAAATGTGAGTTATTGAAGTTATTGTATTGAATTATTTAAGTAATTAAAATGTCAGTTGTTGAAGAGTGAAACTATGAACATTTTAATGAAACGCCTAGATATGATGAGCTAGAAGCTAGAAGGATTTATTTCAAACAAAGTGTACGGTTGGCAAGCAGTTGTAGAGTAAGTACTTTTTACATTGCTCACACCTGAAGAAGGCTCCGCGGATGACACCCTGTGTTCTCTTTCTTCTCTTTTCAGCACGGAATAAACCTATTACTTGTTCCTTTTTACATTGTATTAAAATTTAATTTAATAATTATGGAAACCAAAAACCGTCAATGCAACAATGCAACAGCTTTGTGAAATACATTGGATAGACCAGGTTTTATTATCATGGTTCCAAGATTTCCTGCTGACGCATACTTAGTGTCTCCCATTTTCCTGGCCATATTGCTGAGCACAGCGTCTTTGATTCACCCTAGCACTATGCCCACTGTTGAGCTCTAATGGCTAATGGATGCTTTGGTTTGACTTCACATTAGGCCACAGCTATCGTTATGTCCCTGGTGCAACATAGTCTCATACCATTCCTCGGCTTGTTTCCAGTTGTTTAGCAGCTGCACAGGAGGGGTGAAGTCCTACGTCACACGTGCATTGGTGTTTGGAACAAAGAAATAGGCTTTGAGACCTTAGGAAAGCAGTATTAGATACTCTACGCTTCATATACTGTTGTGCGATCCCTGCAATATTATTTAATGAAAAAATATGCTCTAATATGCAGTAGTTATCACAGAGTGTTTATTTAAAAATGAAGAAGCTACTTTTTGTGATGGCACACTTTCCAGTTTTAAAATGTTTCTAAGTAATGGAAATAGGTATGTCTTTGTTTTTGTGCCTGATATATACAGTGTATGGATCTTTTTTGCACCCAGGACACAAAAATGGTTCTCATGTTGTGTAGTGGAAAAACTAAACTTGAGTAATTGAGGACTATAGAACCATTGCATTGCCCTAAAATGTTATTTTCCCCCTCCTGATAAGTCTGGCAGAGATGCAAATAAAATAGATACTCCTATCTGTGAATATGCAACTCTGATGTCAGGTTTTTTATAGCTGGAAGTGTATCTTTAATACAGATACTGTATGTGACTGACTGTATTATGGCTGCTTCTGTCAAAAGGATGTTTTTGGGTCTTTAGATGGTATGGATTTTCATGTGCTGTGCCCTAGATATTGTGTAAATATTTCCATCCAAATAAATAAATTGGATTTTGTCTGTCAGGATACAGAGCAGATTACAGAGGCAACCTGACATCTGTTTTGAGCTGATTTTCAGACAGATGGAAAGACGTAACCGAACAGACTCAAGAGAAGGATGATGCACTCTAGGGATTTCGGACATAGAAAAAAAAGTTATAACCCCCGAAAGAGAATATTAGAAGAAGCTGCCTTTTCTGGAATCATGTCAGGTGTCTGCTGCTTTACATAGCATTTCATCTCGTATTGAACAGATACTCACGTTCAATTGAAATTCTTATCTAAATGCACTAGCAGAGGACTAATTGTACAAGACAGAAATCACTGCTTCGAGGGGCAATTCATTTCGGTACTTTGGTAACTTTGACAGTCGCCAGATGAGACAGCTAAATTGCTCAGGAAATTACATTCAATATCCTGCCATGTCTGTTACTGTTTTAGCATCCAACAAGGAACACCTGACCAGATGAACAGCTGATACAACACACTTGCTTTTAAAGAAGCAACAATGTCTTTTTTTATAATCATTAGGATTTCTTTTGAAAGTTTGGGAATTGACGTCACATGGTGCTTTTGAGCCCTAAAAAGGGATCAGCACCTTAACAGTTCTGTGTTCTCATTGTAGTTAAACTGGTATTTCGGTTTCTGAACAGTGCCTTTTGCCCACAAACTGTTTGTCTGCATTCAGGCGGCCTTTTCCAGCTCTGTTTTCTTGCCGTCTGTGCAAGCTGCTGAAATACACACTCATGAGGAAGGTGTAGTTTGACTGTGGGTGAGTAAATTGCCCCTTTCTTTCCTCCCCGCAGGTGCGAGCTCGGCGAGGCGGGTGGTGTCTGTGCAGAGCGGGCCCCTGTACCGCACGGAGGGCTCCCACATCACCATCTGGTGCAATGTCACGGGCTACACGGAGGGCGTGGAGCAGCACTTCGAGTGGTCCATGTATCGGCACTCGGCCCCCCTGCAGGAGATCAAGATCGTCAGCACCAACGAGGAGAAATACGCGTACGCGGTCTACGCCCAGCGGGTACAGAACAAGGAGATCTACATCGAGAGGCTGAGTGGCGACTCCGTGCTGCTTCACATCGCCAAGCTGGAGCTGAAGGACGAGGGCGTGTTCGAGTGCTACACCCCCAACACCGACGCAGAGTACCTCGGCATATACAGCGCCCAGACCAACGTCACTGGTAAGAGACGCTCAAAAGGTTTTCGGAGACTTTTAGACCTGAATCCCCGTTGTTGAAAACCTGTTGTTCTAAGAGTTACCCAGAATGTTTTTCAATTGGTTGCTTAGCTAAAATAGTTAGAATTTTAGATCTAGCCAAAATATTTTGTTTCACAAGGTCAGGTTTAAGAAATTCATGTAGAACTCGGCACATCCTTCCTCCATGAGGCTCCTTTGGCATCCTCAGAATTGCACAGATGTAAATGGAACAGAATACGTCAGCTTAGCTTGACATATTAGATATGTGGTTGCCTCCGGGTGCCTGGTTTTGAACAGAAGCTTCCTGTCTATTTAGAGATCAGCAGAGTGTATTTACTGAGCATTTAAAAAAATCCAGGCTGAACTTAGACTATGAAGAGAGGGGTTGATTGTACCCCCGTTTTTTTTTTTTACGCAGTTGACTGCTTTAAGCTACAGATTTGGAATATTGTATTGTAAGGTTGCAAACCTTTACCAGTTTGGTTCATTTCCAACTCAAATTTGGACAGATGGGAACTGCTGGATAGGTTCCTGGTTCGATGTGATGTTGAGAGATCAGGACAGTAAGAATGGGGTGTGGAGGCCTTTGCTGTGATTCTGAAGTATTGAGTGGGAGAGAGAAGTGTTGATGTGAACAGATGAGGAAGAGCATACAGTGACCTGCTGTGTTTCCAACCTCTTGACCTAATTTTCTTATCACTTGTATCGCATTACTGGACAAGTCCTCCCTCACAGCAGCTGCACACATCTTGCAGACAATGCTTTTGCGTGGTTTGAAACAGGAAAGAAATGTTAAGCATATGGTGAACATACTGTACCACATTACACCACTTCCCTAAACTTTTGAGACGCATGTAATATATTTACTCATTGCAAAATTTTAGTAATGCTTGAAAAATGCTTTCCTCACTTCATGACTAACACCTGTGTAGTGTCGAATGTACTGTTACAATTTTGTTAGGGGAAGAGAAAAATACCTTTTGAAAGAAACGGGAATCATGTGATCATGTGTTTACAGGTTATATGTGTGACTACAGGTTATTTTGCACACCGTTTGGATTTTGAAAGTTTATTATAATGGTGATAAGGCTCTTTGAAGTTTGATCCCATTTGAAGTGGCATTTGGTGTTTTTCCAAATTGACCTTTAACAGCGCTTGTGACCGTGGATGTAATTGACCGTGGATGCACCTTGAAGATGCTCTTCAGTTCCCGTCTCCTATCGCCTCAGGCTCTTCTGGGAGATTAACTTGCTTTTTCGCTTGAAGCTGGTAGCACTTTGACCCCTCTGCCAGTCTCATTCATGGACGTGCTCCTGACTGTGTGCCCAGTTTGGTTTTAGTCTTGGTTTTGGACTTCAGCAGCCCAAGAATTGTGTAAAATATTATCCCCTGCATTATCTTATGGGGTATTAACATAGTTTTTCTGCTGTTGTGTAGCTAATGAGGACTGTCACTTAGTATGCTGTTTTCATCGTTTGTTCTCCGCAGATAAAATGATTCATTCGTTTTAGGGATGTAGTTTAGAATTCAAACATGCGCTGTCCAAATCCAGACTTAAATTGATTTAGAAATCCGTTCATTTTATTCTCTGTTTTCATGGCCGAGCACTGTGTCAATGTCTTTCATACAGGCATGTAGTGAAAATGTGGTTTAAGAGGTATAAAATCAATTTAGTCGAAGAACCTGAAATCTGAACAGAGAAATTCTACAAAGTACTCAGATATGACTGTTTACTCCTGGGTGGGGGTGTTTAATATTTTAAAAATATTAATAATAAATTGTTTTTAGATGTTATTTTTTAAATAATTTTGTCACATCACATCTACACAGATGTTTAGTTTTTGTGATGAGACGTTTGTTTAAAGAGGGCCATAGCGTGGTGCGCACTGAAGGCCATTTTTCAATATGAGTAACATTTTCCTTTTGGCTGTGAGGTGGAGATATTAACGGGTTGTCACTCTCCAGCCTTCATCCAGCATGTTGCCAAATGCTTGATTACAAAATAATCTGACTTTTTCACCCAATTGTATAATCCATACATATTGGTTTTCATCGTATAATTATTTCGTATTCATTCAGAATCCTCTTTTCACTTCATTATAAATGGCTGAAGCAATGTCTAAAGCATTTTTCTTTCTAGATAACATTTTCATTTTCAGTTTATTAAAGTGAAAATCCGCAAAACGTCTTAAAATCTGCACCTCTGAGACCCGTTATTTAGCAAAAGGTCACAGTATTGATACTAAAAATATGAGACAATGGTAATGAAACTGAATTTGCTTTCCTCTGGGTTAGCATTAAAGAGAGAGGTACTGAAGGGAAATATTGCTCTCTACAGCGTAAGCCTGTTCTGGTGTTTCATCTTGCTGTAACAATATCTGAGTTTCCTATTGTTTCCATGTTTACCTGCTTTAGACATACAAGAAAATGTTGTGTTTCATATACTTTGCTTCTGAAATTACAGCTGCCGTTTCACAGCCATTTTGATCAACTGATTTGAGTTTCTCGGATGCTCTTGCTACAGTTCCTCCCTTTTTCGTATGTCTAAAAACTGCAGAGGCACGTCTAGATAGACGTTTAGTTTCTATGCCTGGAAATAAATTGCAAGGAACTGGTAAGAACAAGTAGAATGCTGGCTGCTCAAGGTTCCAAGATTTTCAGAAAGATAAACAAGGAGTGATGAAGTATATACTCTATTCTCTGTAGTTTGTAATTCTACAGAAGCACTGCTGTACTGGTTTGCTCTGGCTTCATGGGCGTGCACTTGCTTCAGCTTTAATGTGGCTTGAAGATTTCTTTTGCAGGTGCAGACTTCCTAAATACATTTTTCTTTTCTCTGTTTCTCGGGACAAAAAGACCGCCCTAAAAAGTGTCCATCTGGAAAACATGTGTATGCCTTTTAAGTTTATAGTGTATAGATTACCAACAGGCTGAAAACACCTGTGCAATGTGAAATGTGCACCAGCAAAACAGTGTTTTCTTTTTGTTTTGTCATATGGAACATGAATGGAAACCTGCCTGGGTGAGTCCTGTTGCCAGATTTCAACCAAGGTTTTGAATCTTGGTCTTGCACTGTAAAAAAAGTGAACTTGTTTTATTATAAGATGACTTATTGGCCATATACTTCCAGCAGAGCAATGCATCCTAGTTGCAAAATAGCACATAGCTTTGGTCCAGCTTGATATTCAGAAATCAAGGGAGATTTCTGTGCTGAAGGCTTTTCCATAAGCAAAGCTTTAAAAACAAACCATGATGTTCTCGCATCACAACAAATTTGCAACCTAATAATATTTGAATGTAGTTCAGAGGTAAATGTGCAATTTAGAACATATTTTTTATTATTATGGTAATTAAACACTACCCACAAGACAGGAGACTGTAAAGGATTGTTCCCCTACATATATTTTTCAAGTTCCTGATTGAATCTGTAGTAAATAGTAATTCATTTGCTGTGCTCCAACTGATAAAGTATACAATAAGAAAAGTGAAACAATTTTACCATTGTAAAATACGAATCATACTTTCAGAACCAATTTGGAATCTGTAATGGTTTTCTGCTCTATAGCAGTGAAAAGATAAACCATATTAAAGAGATTACTGTTGCATATATTATTGAAATTGCTAATGGGTTTAGATATTTTCAAATCATTGCATAAACAGGCTGAATAAGAAATTAATTTATTGTGAATTCTTTGCTAATACAGCAGAAACTGAAAATGACAAGGTATAAATACACAAGAAAAAAATCTTTTAAGTGGGTTAGCAAATTAGCTATTGCAGTGCAATTAATATTTTTTTCCCATTGTTGAAAATAGTCTGTATAATTTATTCCCTGCTTCAGCCTTCCATTAAACATCAGTTTGTATATAGTATGTTGTAAATATATTTTTATGTTAATATGGTGTAAGTTTAGCTATTACCAAGTTGAAAAACCTGTCTTTTTCCTCCCTTAATATAACACAACACTTGTTTTTTATTGTTTTGCAATGGGTGATGTCAGGCTGTTTGTTTCCTTTGGCGGTCATACCTATATTTCAGCTTTTTAGCCATTTCCAAAGAGGACTGACATGATCAGCACAATTTGACCATATTAGTTGTTGCATTATCTACAGCATGGAATTCAGTTTTCCTGGCATGACTCCTTCTTACTGTGTGAAGTGGTATTGTGTCTTCTTTCCCTCTTGGGCTGTTATGATTTGCTTTCCATTTGTAACAGACAAGAATTAAAGTTGTCAGCCATTTTCTCCTGTTTGGCAGCTCTCCAACTGATCTGTACAGCAGTAACAAAAAACCAGATCTTAATCACTCCTTGGCTGTTGGAATGTCTCGAAAAGCCTTGCAACATTAAAGAATGCTTCAGTTCAAATCATATAATGTGAGGTTTGAATTCTTAACCTTTCATTCCAGGGGCTTATGCAAAATATTCTAACAATTTGCAATTTTAATAAAATTAATGACAAACCATGTGTTCATCTATTGCACTACTTATGAAGTAGCATGTAAAGGCACATGGTTCATTGCTAGGCACTGAATGGTAGATGTAAGCTGCACTTGTAAACTCTTTCTCGATTAGTTGTACTTGACATTTGATACTTTATGAAATGGAGGTCACTGAGTGTAATCTCTTTGGATACATTTGATGAGACAAGCTTGAGTTTGATGCACAACGTTTATCTAAATGTCCATTATTATTTTTTGTTCCCTTCAGTATCTAAGTAAGCATTTTATACATCTGGCCAAAAAAATCCCCATATGGTTTGTGATGAAAAAATATGGAGATCTCTCGTTGTCACTGGGTAAAAGTTTTAAAGTGTGGAAGCAGTCTGCCTTCTCTTTTTCAGTGTTCTGCTTTGCTTCAGTTAAGTTGCTTTGGCATGTCACTGATTTTACAAACCATATCTAAGACTACAGCTCGGCTAGCAGGATTATGTGTAATAAAATGTAGCTGGGATGCTTAAAGTGAGGGCTATGCCTTTATTTATC